TGCATCCGTCTCGTTACTTACAGAAGCAAATGCTTTTTGGAGGAGTAGTTCACTGTGTGTGTAGAAGTCTCTTTTAGGGTAATTAAAAAACGTTGACACATTCTATTGCTACAGGACCCTGTTGTGCAGTAATTTTTAAAGCCATTTTTCTCGTTTTACAACCCGCTTAGCCGACCTCCATGTTGAAAGTGTAGCTTGTACACATACGCGGCCTGCAGCACTTTGCTGATTATGTAGTTTGATAAACATCAGCTGCCTTATTAATAAAACAGCTTTAATCTTTTAAAAACAGCTTCTAATTATCTCTTTCCTAAATATTTTTCTACTTGGCAGGTTTTTGAAGACAAAAGCGGCTTTCAACTGACTGAGATTCTTCCATATGTCTGCATCATAAAAGCATTTACAGCTTCTGCGGGGGTGGGGGTGGGGAGATGAAATCTGTAGCTTCATTTTTTACCATGTTTTAGTTCCTTAAAAAAAAAAATTCAATTCTAAATTGAAGTTGCAAAGATGTTTTACATTTTAAATATATGCAACCTGCTGCAGCGAGGACACGGTGAAGAACGGCAGCCGTCAGCAAAACGCAGAAATAAAACTTCAGCAAAGCAGCAAATTCCTGTCAATATTTGAATGTATATCATAAAAAGAGGATGCTCATAAAATAGTAAAGTCATGTAGCAGTGTGTGTGTGCTGGCGGAAGAGAAGAGCTGATACAGTCTGTAGTGTAAATACGAGGCTATAAATACCAGCTTCTGCCTGGGAAATGCCAAGGTGAAGAATGACGTTAAACGTTAAGTTTCGAGAGGACACAGGTGGAATAAGAGTGCTGGTTTGCTCTGCTGGCTCTGCAGGGCTGAACTAACCAGGTCTGACGTGGAGACACTGAGAGAACATGGGTTATTTGGTCCCCGTTCTCTGAGCTGCTACAAGTATTCCTTAGCCCAGTACAGCAGCTCGAGCTGCTCAAGGAGCAGAGGTTAGCTGCAGCATGGTCCAGTGGGTAATAGGGCACTAGACTAGACACCAGACCTAGTTTCTAATCCTGGGTCTGTGACCGACCTGCTGTGCAATTTTGATCAAGTTCCCGCTCCAGTCACTCTGTCTTGTCTAGTTAGTTCATACGCCCTTTGGGAGCAGGACCACACTCTGACTGGGTTTGTACAGTGACTGGCACAGTGGGGGCCTATTGTATTTGGGCCTCTAAGTATTACTGAAACACGTCTAATCAACACCCGTTTAGCAAGGGTAGCCACTGTGACAGCAGATAGTCAAAAGTACTCAGAGCTGTTCAGGTACAGCGTTGAGCAGTGGACAAGGAACATGCACCTGCTTGGATGGACAGAGAAAGTGCAGCAGTAAGAGAGCGACTTGCCAAAGGTCACCCAGCAATTCAGTGGCAGAGCTGGGAAAACAACTCGATCTCCCAGGCCCTGTGTCCTGGGCAACGCTGCCTCTCCCGTGCAGCAATTGGCAGCTCTATGGCGAAAGCTGGGGCACGCTTCCCTGGTCTCTGATGAAGCTGCACCAGCTTACAGCCAGGGTTAACGTGACTAATGACAACTCGTAGGTTTGAACACCAGCTTTCTAGCAGGGAGAGGAGAAATCCCTTGACTAAACACAAATGGATACGTAGCCTCCCAGCGTTTACAGCTTGCCGAGGTGCCTATTTCAATCACAGCTGGTTCCTGTGACTGACCCTCCCCTTTTGGCTAGTGCAATCACTGGTGAACTGCTTCTGGAGCCCCCTAAACTCATTCGGCTAGAAGGACCCCAAGGCACATCCTCCTATCTCCTAACCAGAGCGTCAGTGGAAGAGTTCAAATGGGGGGGATGTTTTCGTTAGGCTCCCTCCCACTAGAGAAAGCAGCTAACGTGGGTTTATGCTAAATTGCATGTTCTGGAGGCAGCAGTTCTGCTTGTTTAATCCTGTGTGTCTAAATCCAGGATACGTAGCCCCATGTTCAGCCAAGCTCCGCTCCCACTGGAGTTGACAGGAGTTGCGGCTGCTCCCCCCCTCTAAGCAGCCCTTGCGTAGATGTCTAACTTGGCCAGGCGAGCTAGGGACTGACGCTGCACCTGTCACTCTCCTATCACAATGGGAAGGGACAGGTTGGTTAATAATTTACCAGCAATTAGCGTAACACAGCAGGTTTCCGGCCCAGCACTTCCAGTTCCTGGGTGACAGAAGGTGACCGTATGGAGAAATGAATGTAACCATAAAATGTAATGGACACTCATGATACATTTCGGACAAGCAGTCGTAGAGAACAGGCGTTAGCTCCCCAGCACATTAACATTGCTCCCTTATATCCAGTCTTGGTCCCCCTCTTATGCAGCCGTCCCAGTGCTTGTGAAGCAACAGCATTATTCATGGCTTATGAGTAAAGGGGGACCAAAACTAAGGCGATTTTGTGACTAGTATTTTAATAACCACTGGTGAACTCTGCTCTTCACCTCAGTGTCTGCCTCCGCTAATCCCGTGCATTATGTATTCAAAATCAGACCTGCAGCACACGCCTCTTTTATAAAAGGAAACTAGGGAAAATGGCATTGTTTAGTCAAAACTGTTTTAGAAAAGTCTGTTTCCTCACCGTTGCAAACGGCACAAGCTCTGTTCTGTTTAATGTCCTGAGAATTTTAAGCATACGACAGAAAAAAAACCAAGCCCAAAGTTACAGGCCGCTGTGACATATCCCATGTAGTTGTAGCCATGTCGGTCTCAGGATATTAGAGAGACAAGGTGAGGGGGGGGTAATAGCTCTTATTGGACCGACTTCTGTTGCTGAGAGCGACAAGCTTTAGAGCCCCACAGGTGTGGGAAAGGTGCTCCCAGCGTCACAGCTAAATGCAGAGTGGAACAAAGCGTCGCCCGAAGAAGAGCTCTGTGGGACTGAAAGCTTCACTCTCTCTCTCCCCAACAGAAGTAGGCTGACGTGAGATGAATCCTCCCATAATCCTGGTTTGGAGAGCACAGCTGATCTGCACGGCCAACAGCAGACAATGGAACTGAGAAACAATTGGATACTGAATTCAAATTCTTACATCGCTCCTATTTTTTCCCCTTCATGGTTCAATGTACTGCAGACTTTTGTATTACAACATGGAACTAAGCTGTCCTGGGGGAAGCTGGAGGGTTTGGAAGATGAGTAGGGACAGTTTCACATGAACATATTAGTTTTATTTCTTAGCATTCAATTCTGGAGCACAGTTCTGCAGCACAGTGTGGATTCTGGGGCAAATTCTGCGGAGCCCCTCACTCCTATTTTCAAGAGCCCAGAATAGCCTGGTGATGTTTCCAAGCAGACAAGCCTCAGAGTACATACACTGACGGTTTCACGCGCTAAGGGTAAATAATCAAGAAGAAAAAGAAAAAAAAACCTGCCCAGTCTTCAAATTCTTCTCTGGTTTATTGAGGCTGACAAGTACCTAAAGCAGTTACAGTTACTTCCCAATGCCGTTTGGACTCTGCACCATCCTTTATACACACTACCTCCTTCAACTCAGTTTGCGCCTCCTCTTTGATAAGCCACATCCCTAACTGGACAGACGGCGCCTGTAGATGGACACACTAAATACTTGGCAATTCTCTGTTTAGAACAACTCTTCACATTCCCAGACTGCATTACTCATTTCTTCCATAAGAAAAACCCCGTTTATAAAAAGTTACCGTTTTTTTGGTTAACTGCAGGAGCCCCGACAGGCCTAAGAGCCACGCTAACTGTTTGGTGGTGTATTTGACAGAGCGTTAATTTGTTCCGGGTCACTGATGGGGTAACGAGAAGATATTTACAAAGGCCACCAGGAATCCTTTCCAAGAAGGATCACAGCTACGTTATTAGTGCATTGAAATGGCATTGCCTGGCACAGGACACGTCCAATTCCATTCAGCAGTTCCTTGTCCTCTTACTGGGGGTAAAGTTCCACAATCATTGCATGGCCCTGAAATGGAGACGCAAAGCACGGTTACTCTAGGCTGAAAGGCACTGTCTGCAGTAAACGTACAAGTCAGCAGAAGAGCTTCATTTCCAAAGGATGTTCGTCATATTGTACGAACAGGAAGAGATGAATAGCAGGCGTTTACTCAGTGGCAGCACACTACAGACATGGGTTGGATTATCTGGTGCCATTCCCGAAGCACTACGGGAGGCAATGCATTCCTTTCAGGGGATGGGATTAGAAAGCATGCTGCGGGCTACTCAGGGGTATCCCTCTCACCCAAATTAGAATGATTATGCAGCTTCCACAGAGTCTCAGCTAGCCCTCTTTAGATCGGTTAAGTGAGGATAGGACTGGTCTGGATGTGACCTCTCAAGTTACTGAGTAACCCAATCTACTGCCGCTAACCACAACTGCCTAACAGCAATAGGTGTAATACTTCTCTAGCGCTTTCCAAGTGCCACTGGAGAGCAGGTGCTATCTGCCTTTTTCACACAGAGGTTCTCGTTCCTTACACGGGGAGATGGAACCTAACAAGCCAGACTTCAGTAGGATCCTCAGGGTTCATGAGACACTGAAAACCACCCCCGCAGTAAAGAATCATTCCTGCCTTTCGCACTATATCAACGGTGACATGCAGCACTGGCCACCAAATAAGGGTCACTCTCGGACAGCACTGAAATGCTGCAAAAGCAAGACTGGCTGGCTCCTTAGCCCAGCTGCCTGGATGGTATTAAGGAAACCTGATGGTAACAAACTTCAAAGCTGCACCGATGTCCAACATACACAGGACATGACTTCTTGGTACCAAGAGGAACAGAGGAATTCCTGCCCGTCTCAGCAGAGGGCACAAAGCCAGCAAGTCCATGCAGCATTACCTGTCCTCCCGCAGCACAGGCAGCAACCACACCGTACTGCCCTCCTTCTTTCTTCAGCCGGTGCGCCGCAGTCATTACTAAACGGCAGCCAGTGGCACCAAAAGGGTGGCCCAGAGACAGGGAGCCACCCCACTTATTGAACTTCTCCAGAGGCGGGGCTCCAACCTGCAAGAACAAACCAAAGGAACGGGCTTGCCAACCTCTGCCTCCAAGGAGCCTGTCCCGCTCCCTCGGAGTCCTTCCCGCCGCAGATGAGAACATAACCAACATGGAGATCAGGGGCTGAAGAGACCTACGAAGCCAGCTAGTCTCTGCTGCTGGCGTGCTCCCTACAGCTTACATATGTGTTTCACTGCAGTGTAAGCAAATGTAAGAGGCTTTATGGTGATAGGATGCCATCTACAGCCAGTTAGCTGCTAGAGGCCAGTGGTTTAATCTCACCTATCATTTTTACTGAGAAACATTAGCCGCACAGCTCTAGATCTTTGCCTTCTCTTGGTGCTGAAGTGCCAGAGGTCACGTCAGAGTAGCTACAGCGCCTCGAACTAGGAAGAACTGAACCATTTATTGATTTTTAGGAAACTGAGTATTTCTCCCTTGTATCAACACAATACGGGCCTTAGAATTGCTATGCAGTTCGGATAGGTTTTTACAGCAAGGAATGAAAATTGCAAAAGCAACACTGACCTTAAAACCTGCTTCCTCACTCTGTCCTTACCTTAGACTTTCTGCCCATGTAGTTTTGTGCAAACCAATCTGAATCCATAGCTTTCAGGTTAGCCAGAATCTGCCCCTAGAAAGGAGGGGAAAAGACTCAAGGACGACAGCAGACTCAGAATGAAGTCCAGTACAAGGTGTGTTATCCGGCCCTGTACCACCCGGAAAGCTCTATAAACCGGCGTTTCTAATCTTCAGAGAAAGTCCGGTTTATATAGTCTGTTTGGCACCTGCCTGGCTCCCCATGCCTCCCCGGAAGCGACAACAGGTCCCTGCTGCTCCTAAGTAGACGCTCAGCAGGCGCCTCTGCGCACTGCTTCCGCCCACAGGCGCCGCCCCCGCAGCTCCTATTGGCCGCAGCTTCCAGCCAATGGGAACTGCGGAGCCAGCATTCGGAGCAGGGGCAGCACGCAGAGCCGCCTGCCACACCTCCGACTAGGAGCGGCAGGGACAGGTTGCTGCTTGCGGGAAGCTGCCCAAGGTGAGCGCCCTCTCCGCCCCCGGATCCAGCACCCCGAAACCCCAACCCCCTGCCCCGAGCCCCCTCCTGCACCCAAACTCCCTCCCTCTTAGTTAAGTAGCATTTTTCACTTACCAGCACCCCCCATTCCCAACATGCCGGACAGAAAAGCTTTTACTGTAAACGGTGGAGTACTAACAAGTTAGGGGTATCTTAGTTTCCTCAAACTAGTCAGTGATCAAGAAGGATGAACACAGCTGGCTGTACACAAAGGGCTCAAAGGAACATCATTTGCATGAGCCTTGTCCCAGTCAGTTGACACCTTAGAGAAAAATGTTGCCTCTGATTAACTGAATAAACTGTCTGCACAGAGCACCTCAGCCCAGACTAACTGTTAATGTACAAAATCATAGTGTGCATATATAAAACCCTACATCTGATGAAGGAAACCGAATAAGAAGAGAGCTCTTTCCACTCCTGACATAAAACCAAATTAAATATCCTTGCTATAGATCTTACGCAGGAGAACCCAGATCTGCAACCCAAGACACACTGGTGTGTCACCTCCTCCATGCATGTTCCTGTGCAGATACTTACAGCGAAAGCTTCATGAAATTCAAACACATCAATATCAGCCAGTGTTAGACCAGCCCTCTCCAACACTTTGGGAGTACCATACGTTGGCCTAAAGAGTCAGAAAAGCAAGAGTGACATTAATGCATGTGTTCCATGGACTCCTCCCCACTTCCTTCACTACGATCCCTATTATAACCTCCTCTCTCGCAAAATGGAGCTGCAGCGTTTAAGATGCCAAACAAGTAAGTGCTCACGAAGCTTTCAGCCTCTCTCACTCAAACTGATGTACAACCCAAAAGCCACCACCATCCCATACAGAGATGCGTTAGGGAGGTGAAGACGAGCATTTCACCCCATTTCTAAAGTTAATTGACCTCTTTTGGCTTTGTGTGCAAGTCTGGAAAGACCGGGCATCAAATCCGATTAGCTGGATTTTAACCACATTCAAATTCTCCAAGTCTTGAGATGTATGCTAACATCAACACTAATGAATCATAGAACTGGAAGGGACCTTGAGAGGTCATCTAGTCCAGCCCCCTGCACTCATGGCAGGACCATCCCTGACAGGTGTTTGTCGAACCTGCTCTTAAAACTCTCCTGTGATGGAGATTCCACAACCTCCCTGGGCAATTTTTTGCAGTGCAAAGTCTTGTGACTTGTTACTTGGCTGGTTAAGGCAGCTTAATACTGCCACATGTATCAATAACCTGAGGCAACACCATGCCTTGCACATGCCTGAGTACCCATGTAACTGTGTTGCTATAATCCCCGCCTCAGCTCTACCCTATTCTCAGTCATCTCCATTTGCTGCATCATGTCTTGTACCCAGATTTTCTCAGCCCTTTGAGGCAGGGCCCAGATCTCTGGCTGGCTGGAACGCGCCTAACTAAACGCTCAGACATTCTACAGCAAGCGAAGCATTTAGTGCTAGTAACTGATAATGTCCATCAATGCTAAGTGTTTGACTATGCTGGCCAGAAGCCAGCACTTACCCCAGCAGGAGCTGGTCCTTTGGATCCTGGGACACGTACACAAAATCCCTGCACAAGAGAAGCACCATTAGTACCAGAACAGAAAACAAAAGCAAGACCAGCTTTCAGAAGCCAGATGGAATGGTTCCTTGTACCTTAGGTAGGCCTTTGGTTTATATCCCATCGCCAGAGCCTTCTCCTCAGACATAATCAGAACTGCCGAAGCACCATCCGTCTGAAACAGCCAGACAAACTCTGTCAAGCAACTACTCACAGAGCGCTCACACCATGCAAAGGCGACAAGTCTCTAAGTGTTTGTACAGGGCCCCAGTCGCCGTAGCAGACACAATCTTAGTACAAACAAACTATACAAGAATGTAAATACAAATGCTGCTCTATAAATGTATCTATAACCATCCACCAGAAAGTTACATTACAAGTCACACTTGTCTGCGTGTAATTCATTAGGCTGTGGAACGGAGAGCTCCCAAGAAAACTGGCAGAAGCCTCATCACTTGGGATAAAGAACTAGGTAAAATACACCGTAGGGAACAATGCAGCACTGGTTGAGGCAGATGGTAAGATGACCTATGAGTGGGTTGGCCAAACCAATAAGGCTGCTGTGATAGCAATGTATCAGAGGGGTAGCCGTGTTAGTCTGTAGCCACAAAAATGAGGAGTCCAGTGACACCTTAAAGACTAACAGATTTATTTGGGCATAAACTTTCATGGGTAAAAAACACTTCTTCAGATGCATGGAGTGAAATTACAGATACAAGCATAAATATACTGACACAGGAAGAGAATGGAGTTACCTTACAGGTGGAAAACAAGTGTTGATAAGGCCAATTCAGTCAGGGTGGATGTGGTCCACTCCCAACAACTGATGAGGAGGTGTCAATACCAAGAGAGGGGAAATTGCTTTTGTAGTGAGCCAGCCACTCCCAGTCCCTATTCAAGCCCAAATTAATGGTGTAAAATTTGCAAATGAATTGTAGCTCTGCAGTTTCTGTTTGAAGTCTGTTTTTGAAGTTTTTTTGTTGAAGGATGGCTACTTTTAAATCTGTTACTGAGTGTCCAAGGATACTGAAGTGTTCTCCTACTGGCTTTTGTATGTTACCATTCCGGATGTCCGATTTGTGTCCATTTATTCTTTTACGTAGAGACTGTCCAGTTTTGCCAATGTACATGGCAGAGGGGCATGCTGGCACATGATGGCATGTGTCACATTAGTAGATGTGCAGGTGAATGAGTCCCTGATGGTGTGGCTCATGTGGCTGGGTCCTCTGATAGTGTCGCTAGAGTAGCTATGGGGACAGAGTAGGAAATGGGGTTTGTTACAGGGACTGGTTCCTGGGTTAGTGTTTCTGTGGTGGGGTGTGTAGCTGCTGGTGAGTATCTGCTTCAGGTTGGGGGGCTGTCTGTAAGCGAGGACTGGCCTGCCCCCCAAGGTCTGTGAGAGTGAGGGATCGTTTTCCAGGATACGTTGTAGATCATTGATGATGCACTGGAGAGGTTTTAGCTGGGGGCTGTAGGTGATGGCCAGTGGTGTTCTGTTATTTTCCTTGTTGGGCCTGTCCTGTAGTAGGTGACTTCTGGGTATGCGTCTCGCTCTGGGAGTGGCTGACTCACTACAAAAGCAATTTTCCCTCTCTTGGTATTGACATCTCCTCATCAATTGTTGGGAGTGGATCACATCCACCCTGACTGAATTGGCCTTGTTAACACTGGTTCTCCACTTTTAAGGTAACTCCATTCTCTTCATGTGTCAGTATATTTATGCCTGTATCTGTAATTTTCACTCCGTGCATCTGAAGAAGTGGGTTTTTACCCACGAAAGCTTATGCCCAAATAAATCTGTTAGTCTTTAAGGTGCCACCGGACTCCTCATTGTTTTTGTGATAGCAGTAGCATACATAGATGTGGCTCTTTAGTAAGTGCGTTTTTGGCAGAATGCTGGTCTGTGAATTGGGGGGGGGGGGGGGGTTGTGCCATTTTGACAGCTACAGTGCTTGCATAGTCTGAGTTTCAGAGCATTGTAATTGGTTCATGTATGCAAAACTAAATCCTAATATTTTACAGCACAGTGTCCTTGATGCATTGATTTTATGGTGTCTCAAAAGGAGAATGTATTTCCAAGTTAATCTACAGCTCTGCTGTACGCAATGGCCCTTATATGCCAATGTTTTGCAGTGGAGTCAATTCTAAAGTAGTATTACACCTAAGCAAGTTCCCAGGAACTCAGGCAGAAAACGCTGTTGCTGCTTGTGAAACACCAGCATTACTTTATAGCACAAAGAAAGGAGCAGTTATTGCAAAATGTGAACAGGATCTAAACACTAGAGCATCTCCTCTGTGCTGCACATGGGGACAAGACACATACCTTGTGCATTCTGGGGGAGACTTTCAAAGGCATAAGCACAGTTAGGCACGCAACTTCATTCAAAGTCCCAGGGAATTGGGTGTGTAACTCCCATTTGTGCCTTGGGAAACCTTCCCCTGTCCTCTTCTGAGGGCAATTATAATGAAGCCAACAGGTAAAGCAGCCTCAAGTGTTTATAATGAACCTTCTGCTTTTATTTCGGGGGGTTGCTAAATTTAAATTTGTTTAAGAAAAAATGCAAGTGTCATTTTTCAACTTAAAGTGGATGACATTATGGAAAAGCCAACGAGGTTGGAGTCGTGTTAAAGTCACAGAAATATAGTGTAGGTAGCTACAATAGGTAGAAAAATAGCTCAGTCTCACATATTGCTACACAAATGGATGGGGGTGTACGTTACCAGGAAGGAGGAGTTGGCAGCTGTGACAGTCCCATAAGGTTTGACAAAAGCAGCTTTCAGTTTGCCCATCTGCTCCATGGAGGACGGACGGACTCCATTATCTTTGATAACAGTATCTTTGCCTGTTAAAACAGAGCATTAACCTCAAAAGGACGTGGGCATCAGACCCCACTTTACAGAAAAGAATGTGAGAGAGAATCTATGTTCCATGGGAAATGGAGTGTAAGGAAAGAATGGAGGCGTCATTCATTTTATTTGCTTTCTTGCCAAAATAGTTTAGTGTTAAGGGAACAGTCTTGAGTACTGAAAAAATTCTGCTTCTTTCAAATTGATGATTTTCTGAAGAAAAAAAAAAAAGCTTTCTAAGGAGCACAACTGGTATGTGCTTCATCACACTGGCACTTTTCCTAGGCTGGTTTTTAAACTAGACTGGTTAGTTCCCTGCGGTGTCAGTTGTTGCTTGTTAACTCTTCGATACAAAGAGCAGGATTCCTCACCTGTGAGCTCCTGATCTGCCCCGGACGAAGGCAATCATCACCAAATAAGCAGGGAAATGGAGTAGGGCACTTCAAGATTTAGATCACAGACTCAGCAAGGACACATGCTCCTAGATCACTACTTTCTTGTGCAGGGACAGATTGTAAATGAAAGATTTTAAATCGATTTAACACTGCTGAGGAGTGAAAGCGTGCCGAGAGATACAAAACTCCATGACCTGGGCCCTGGCCACTTTCCTTTATAAAGGGAGTGGCGCTATTTTGGGTTAGCATTAGAACACATGGCTTTTACCTGGCACTTTGAAGGGTACCACGTCAGTGAGCAGCCCCTCATCCTGGGCTTTCCTGGCCAAAGTGTGGGAACGCAGGGCGTACTCGTCTTGTTCCACACGGGAGATAGCAAAGGCGGCGGCCAACCTGTCTGCTGAGTGTCCCATGGTCTCACTGGTGGAAAACTCTGCTACAGCTGGGAGCTAGAGGAAAAGGAAGCACAAGGTAAGCATACGTAAATACCATCTGTTCCAATGGTGGTTATGGGCAGCACACTATGCTACACCATTGGAACTTAATATTTGGATACGTTTCATACATGTAAATCCTTGACGTCCTCCATTGATAAACAGAGCAATTAGCTTTATACAAATAATGCACATTATCCTACTAAGATCAAATAAACTAGAGGAATCCCCACTTCTGAACCACAGATAACACAGGAATGCCCAAACTTGGACTGAGTAAGGACCATACTGGCCACTTGCCAGGGGCTTGAGGCCTGCTCCCAGGTTGCAGACAATGAGGTAGTTAGCACCTGCCCTTGTATTTAATATGGAGCTGCAGACCAGAGAGACAAGAGGCCCCAAAATGAAGTGAGGCCAGGTGGCTTGGAGCAATGCATGCTGGGGCCTGCAGCCTCTGTGGCCCACACCTCCATAGGAAGTAGTATGCTACACAAGTGGGCCAAATTCAAGTCATCCCTTATTTAAGATTTAGTCCTCCTCCATCCTGAGAGAATGGAAGACAGCTTCATCCACATGCATGTGAGCCAAGACTCCCACGCTGCTGGGTGTGCTATTTTTAGGGCCCTTCATTTTCAGTTTTTATTTTAATTTTTCCCAGGAATTTATCAGAGTTTATTACCACACCACCACAAATGGGGGGAAAAATCAGTGCAAAAAACAATTCATAATTTTTCTGGGTAAATATCAGGGTTGTTTTGGTGGACAGAAACTCAGGGAAAAAGTATTCAGTGGATTGATGCTTTGAATTCCGTTCAATGTGGTTTGCTGCAGAACTAAAACAGAACTCAAAATACGCCACCTCGGAGTTTAAGAAAACAGTATATCTCTAGACCCCAAATAAAACTTTTCAGTTGAATAAACAGTTTACTGGTGTAGATTTAGAGCTATTAGCCTGTAAATATTTACATTTAATAATTGAGTCACACCATTCGCAGCGCATTTACTCAACTTCATCCTTTTCTCCTGTTTTTTTAAAGCTTTCGAATACTTTTGTGTTCGGAAACGTATTCTGATACCAATTTTTGTTGTTTTCCCAGTTTAGTGTGTCAAATCTTTAAACCGTTATCTGCCAACAGCTTGAAATGCATACATGGTGGGCGTGAGATTCATCAGTACGTTCAGATGCGCATGCACTTCAGAGCTTGCATGCGTGTCTGTTTATTGTGCATCTTCTAGACTAATGCCTTACTTCAATAGGCAGCTTTGCATACACACACAGACTAATGTATTATCGTAATACATACATCTCATATAATGTACTGTATTTTCCTAATAAAACAAGTTACTTTTTATATATTTGAATGATACAAAAGTAGGGTAAAAATCAGAAAAAAAAACTGAAAAATACTTTTTGTAAAACCCAAGAATTTTTCAGTAAAAATTGGTTTAAACTGCAAATGAAAGGGCTTGGCTATTTTCCAGTTCAGGGAGTCTGCAGCATTCAAATCCGGGTGTCTTATCTCTCAACTGCACTTGTACCATTAGCGGACGATAAAGGATACTCTATTAATAGTATGTGGGCAAAAATACCCTCTCTGGTGACCACAGAACTCCAGGAGCCCTCAAATCATTCACTGTGAATAAAACCCTTTTCCTACCTATTTCCACCACTTTTCAAGTCCCCTTTCCTCCGACCATGAGAGCAGGTGGTGGGGCTTCCTTTACAGCATGAAATGGAGAGCCCACTATCTAAATGGGCAGGCTGCCCATTCTCACCTCTTCTTATGAAAGCATTCAGTCTCCTGCAGGACTGGGTCCCTGGAGAGTAAATGGATTGTGTATTTAAGAGGTGTCAATCAGATGCACAATCCCATCAATAGTGGGAGGGGAATGCTTGCCTCTGTATTCGATGTGCTGAAAATGCACCTGATGCGTCACTACTAGCTTGAGGAGCAATTCATTTTGTCCCTCAAACTCCAGGTTCTAAGAGTTTCAGAAGGTCAAGACGAATTGCACGGCATTTAGGCTGGCAGGGTACGTTTCCCCTTTACACATTTTAATGTCTTCAGTAACCGCTCTATGCTAGCAGTTCGATGAGTTGGGAAAAGAGATATTTTGAAGTTTTAATAGGTGAAGCTCACTAAGTGCGAGCCTGACTGTCAGGGAACCACGTAGGCAAAAGCCATAAGTAGTTCCTCAAAGCATTTTAGGAGCTATGCTAATTCACTGAAAGCTTGGCCTAAACCTAAACAGGCAGCATGATGCAGAAGAAACATAGTCTGCACCCCCACTTAACCATCACCATGTTGAATTCTCCACAGGGGCAACATTAAATTCCTTTCCCCTGGAGCGTGTGTTATTTTACAAGCAGCTATCAAATGGCAAACTACAAAAGAGGACAGACTTGAGAACCCTAGACGCCTACTGAGAGATGGAAAGGAGGAGATTTACCTCGGGGGCAAAGTAATCAGGACGGATTTTAGCAACCAGCGCCAGCCTCTGGCCCAAGGTCTTGGCCCTGTTAAGGGAGAGCAGAGTCTTCCTCATCTTCCTGCTGTGACGAATGGGAACATCCGACATTAACTCCACACCACCAGCTACCACAACATCACACTGGCCAGATGCAATCAGACCAACACCTACAGGAAGCGATGAAGAAGATCATCAGAAGTGTGGGTGGACATCTTTAAAAGAAGCTGAAATACTTTCCCTTACTGAAGAGAAGCAACAACTAATCAAGGATTTCTCAGGAGCAGATGCAACCAACAGAAACATCTCTAATCAAGGAGAATATTTTGCTTTTTTGCACAGTTGGTCAGCAAACAGATTTTTGATCAGATGAAAAATTGAGATTAAAAAAAAAAGTTGTCCTGATATGGGACAAAGCACCAAAAGTTCAGAATTTTTCACAAAATGAAACTTCAGAAACCTTTGTTTCAGGTCTATTGAAATTTCAATAAATTCAAAACTTTTTTTTTTTTCTGATTTTGACAAAATTAACAATATTCTAAATTGAACTCTCCGGTCTTCTGTAATTTTGCTTCTACTTCCCACTATTTTCATGCAAGGAATTGAGGCAACAATATCCCTCAAACAATTTGGGGTAGAAACCTGGATCTTCAAGGTTTGCTCAGTTTGGGCTATACTGAAGGTGATGTTAGCATAACAGGCTACAACTCTGTCAAGTTCAAGTCTTTACCTTTCAGTTCTTCTGGACAATTTTGAATCTGAGTGGAGACTGCTCCTGATGATCAAGAGCTCCTGAAGGCCTGGAACACGTACTTCAAAAATCTCTGCTAAATTTCACTGAGCCAGTGGTTCAATAGCCTCCCCATCTAAGCCTCCTCCAGACACTTAACCATGTTCATTAAGATGTGCAGGTAGGACAGGGGAATAGAAGATGGCATTAGCAGCCTCTCTTCTAATCTACTACCTGTTCTTTCAGCCAACATACCTGTGGTCATAGCTTGGTTTGAAGAGATGCAAGCCATAGTGACCGTGTGAGCTGGAGTTTTGTCAGAGAAGCCAGCTCCCAAGGCAGCCTATGGGCAACACAAGATAATGATTAAAACCCCCCACCAGCTCTACCTCACAGTACTTGCTTCTTGAAACATTAAATGACAGACATCTTTGCAGAATTTAAGCTGCAAACGTGTCAAGTTTCCACCTACGCAGCTGAGGTAAGGCATTCTGCACGCGTTCACTATGAGGAATCTTCCTTCTATTGTAAGCAGAGAGCTGGCCTGCTGTCTGCCTCTCAAAGCTCTTTATCAAACTACACGGGCAACCATGGGCAGACCGTAAATGAACAGACAAATTCCTCTTATGCAACACAGCACCGTATTTCTGAAAACTTCATGTACTTTTGCTTCACCCTATCATCTATTATTTATAGATGCAAGAAAATGAATGTAATTTTGTTTGAGAACTTGAATACACTGCAGTCGAATACAAGCTGTAATTTGCATATAACTGAACAAATGTTTGTGGCAGACCAAGCTTTCCTGAAAGCAAGGCTGTATAATAGGAATGACAACAAGCTCTAACAGAGCAGGGAGTGGAGGCCTCTGTCACAAAAGAATAACTATTCTGGAATACGTGTTGCCATAAGAAGACACACCTTAACTGACACTCAGCCAACTAGTTTAAAGTTCAAACCTTCTCTGGAAGTTAAAATTAAACCACAGTCTCAGTTGACTGACAGGAGGTCAAAGAAAACACTTGCACATATAAAAATAACCTGATGATTGAATCTGAGAAGTACTGGAAATAACAAGTGCAGTTAGGTGAAATTATGTAACAAGTTTTAGGTGGGATCCTTTCCGGTGGAATGGCGCTGGCTGCTATGCAGAACACCAACTGAGGTTTCAAAAGCTAGGTTGATTAGAGCAGAATCATGTCTAATGTTCTGGAGATGGCTTTATAGTAACAGATTTCTACACTTTTCCCTGTATTATGTGTAGTCACTTCTCTCTTTACATCTGCCACCAGGAAAGGCAGCTAAGCTAGCAATCTCCAGAGCACTCAAATGCTGCATCTTGGATCTCCCAGCTTTATTTTTCAAAAAAATATTGTAGTGGTATCAAGTATTTCTGGCAAACCAGATCGTGATCCCAAGTGGACAGTTCAAGCAGAATGATTAATCATCCCTTATCAGGGCCCTGCCTTTCTGGGATTCCCCCAAGAGGGATTTTGCAGTGCACAGTATTAGAACTGAGAGGGTAGATTTATGATTTTAACGGGATGGGAGTGCCATTTAATTCCTTGCTGCACCACACAGTGTGAATGGCTTATTTTCCCAATCCACAAGGAGCAGTGATGAACTGATTCTTTCCTAGAGGTTAGTTCCCTCCGGTTAGCTGTTTAACCCACCTCTCTAGCAACATTGCTTGTTTTCACCTCCTGAATAACTGTGCCATAAACAATGTAATCAACAACTTCCTTCGGGACGTTGGTCCGGTTCAGCAACCCTCTGAAAGAAGAAGTCAGACAAGAAAATCTGCACCAACAAATAAAATGGTAACTTTGCCAAGGTCCCCAGGCACCCAATTTCAAAAGCTAGCTTGCAAAACAGGGACAACAGCGAGCATGCTTCCCTAATTCAGAGGGGAGGTTGCATATATGGCTGCCCACAGAAAGAGCTGGAAATGGACTCAAAATAGAAAAGGGAAACTCCACCTCTTCAATAACCCCCCTTCCCCCAATGCACAAGTGGTTACTACCTCTCTCCCCCAGCTTGGGGCAGCCTCAAGTCAAAACTAGGGGAGAGAAGAGGGAGTCAGAGATGTCACACCAGCCTACCCCTCAGTGTTTGAACACCTACTGCTTCTACAGGGATACACAAAAGAGAAGCAGCAATTTTTTTCATATTTCCATAGAAAACACCGTATACAAATCCTCAGGATATCTGTACAAACAAGCCTATACACCTCTGCACCCCATTGCAGGGATATATATAAAACTAAAATAAACACAAATTTGAATTCTGACTTCCTCAAACTATCGTGTAAAAGGCTACTACCAAATCCAAGCGGCCAGTGCACCACTTAACACCAGCATGCAGTCCGTGAATATAAAGTGCACTGTTTGCACGCCGGCAGTCAATCAGATTGACTCCTCTTTGAATCCCTCCTCCGGCTCCCCCTTGGCTACTGCATCAACCTCACAGCCAAGGCTTTGCACGACTCCAACCCAGCCTTCAACTCTTTCAGAGTCATGTCCCCACTGCCCATCAACAATGCCAGCCTTGACAAACTCCTCCCCCCATTCCCCAAACTCCTGCCTTCACACCTTCTTCCACACTGCCCCCAAAGGTAAGTACGGAATGACCTCCCACAGTGCCAGGACCCCATCTTCCCTCCTTCAAATCCCTCCTAGTGACCCTCCTTTTCCACATGACCCGCAAACGCTGTCAAGCTGCAGGCTGGAGAAGGCATGGGAGAGAAGAGAGATGAAATGAGAGGGGAAAAACACACACAGTACTAAGGTAGCTTTCCCTGGGTCTCAGTCACTGCCCCAATTTGCTCATCGTTCATTTTTCGTATTATATAGCGCCAAGCACATTCAATAGTAGATCATTTGAAGCAGAGCTGGCCAGGAGGATGACACAATATCCCCCTAACACGCACTTAGACAGTGCCTTCCTTCTGAGGCTCTCAAAGTGCTTTACAAGCAGTCAGTAGTATCACCATTTTGCACGTAGGTAATCTGAGGTAGAGAGGTGAAATGACTTGTCCTTAATCACATAGCTGAGTGACAAAGCGGGGAATACAGCCTAGGAACCCTGGGTCCCAGTATTGTCATCAGCACTAGATCAACCTCCCAGCACAAAACCCCAGTGCCAGCTAGCTTTCTGAGCCCCTCTTCCACTCAATTCTTGTTTACTCACTGCAGCGAGGCTCTGGCCAAGTCATGCGGCATCAGATCTGCATATCTGGAAGTTAAGACACACAGGCTTACAAAATAATCCCTGAAGTTATTTTATCATATCATTCAGAGCATATATTAATAGAACAGACACAGTAAGGCATCAGATAAGCAATCCCGGAGCTTTTTCACTTAAAAATGGCCATTTCACAGCCTTGTTTTGTGGAGACATGTCTACATGTGAAAAATCAATGTACAACTGCTGTATTAAGGAAAATCCTGAAACAAAATATAGCAACAGCAAAAATCGAAACTCTATCCCCTATTTACTTCCCTATGTAGGGAATTGTTAGTAATGGTCCTGATTCAGCTATGAAGTTAATGGCATTAAGTAACAGGTTTCTAACAAAGTCATCTGATGTAGTTTAAAGTTTAAAGACTATGCCTGGGTCTTGGAAGCAGTTTTCAATCATAGGTGCACTCACATGAATGGCATGTGAAGACAAATCAGTTGGGCTGCACGTTACTTACTGTGAACAGCGGACATATGTCAAGCCTAGAGAACCAAACATCCCAACCCAGCCCTTACACATCCCAATATACACAGGATTTTCTTTGTATTATTTAGTAATTCATCCTCAGTTCTCATCAGAATGTATTCTCTCCTTTCCCAAGCCAGACTGTCACACTGACTATGCCAGTTTCCTTATAGTTATAACAAAGAAGAGAGGAACCACTAGCTCACCTCTGCTAAGCATAAGGTACCACATGGTTGCAGCTACAGCCTTAGTTGATTGCAATCTTTTAGGTGGTGCTAATCCCTGTCAAGGAACACTGGAGTTGCAAGATATGTATTCTAACTCTTGGGGAAAATCATATAACTTTGGAATGCCCAATCCCTTTAAGCTTGTAATATGTATCAGGGCTCACAGAGTTTCACCTGTATAACAGCAACCAGTGACCTCGCCAAGATTAAAAACACAATACAAGAAGGAAGGGATCAAAACAAACCACCAAGTTTATCAACCTGGTAAAGATCAGAAAAACAAGTTGTTAAACGCCTTGCAGGTATTACATTCTTTACTCTTTCCTATTATGAGTAAGAGTAGCTACAAATGTCAGAACACATAGCAAGCAAACATCAGGCACTGAACGAAGTGAAAGCAGTTAGAGAAGTACAAATATACCAAGCCCAATGTTTTCCATTCTGATTCTACCTGAATCTTTCTGTATGATTAACCAAAGCAAAGAGGTGTATTTTCTTTTCATACTTACGAGGTGCCAGACTGTAAAAATGGAATGCGGACCCCATCGACCACAACAATATTCTTCACGCCATTTTTGGCTAAGGTTTTCTTACTCTTGGGCTGGACTGTTTGAAGAAAATATTTAAACAGCTATTGGCTAGAATCTGAGCAAGTCTGCAGCAAGATTTTCTTTAAAAAATAAATACTACTAGAAAGTTTGGGTAAACATTCTTCGGTGGTTAAGTCCCACATCAAGTAACTAGGAAGCCTGGATTGAATTCTTGTCTACCCCATGGCATGCAGCCTGATCTTGGGCAAGTCACTTTACTTTCTGTATCCCAGTTTCCTCACCTGTAAAGTGATTCAACTAAAACCTTGCAGTGAGCCAACAGCAGAGCTGGGAACAAGACATCCAATTCCTGACTCCCATTCCCAGTTAGTACTAGGATACTGTGGCACCAGGTGTCTTTGTAATGCTGGATCACAGTCATTAGAAACGAAAGAGACCTACTTGAACACCAAATTTACCCTGTACCTCCCATCCTTAGAGTAAGATAAAGTAATATATTGCAATACAGTAACATCTGACTGATCACTGTCAGGAGGCATTCTGGACTTGGTCCTAGAAAAATACAATTAATAAAAAGACTCAGTGAGTCAAATTTCTAGTGCAAACAGGGATTAAGAGTCCCCTGATTTGTTAAGACAACAATACGAAGTGGCTGCGTTTAGAAGACTGAGAAGGGCCATGGGATGTAAAAGCTGCTTAAATCCAGCTAAGCATGAGAACTTAAGCAAGTGAAAGTGCGAGTATGAAGATTCTGCCTAGTACTTGTGTTATTATAAGTGGGTTATTTGAGTAAAGCTAAGGGCAAGCATGAGCTATTTCCCAAATCAGAGTTGCTAGGCCCAAAATGGTTCAGGGGACCACAGACACTAAGAATTAGAACAATCAACAGCTAAATGAAGCAGCACTTAAGAACCCCAGCAGGCATTTTTAGTATCTAACTGTATATACCCACACTAAAGCCTAGAGCCCCTTACTCTGCGCCACCAGCTGGACCTTATACCCAATACCACAAGCCTTTTCTGGCCAGGGACCATCTCTTGGTCGGCAGGAGGACCTACGTATAACTATCAAGCTTAGGCCATTCCAGTTTATCCCCTTTTGGTATGGATCCTCCAAGTTAGGACACTCTCTCATCTGTTATGGTCTGAGCTCTGGTTCAGGTCCTTCTTCTGGGCTGTGATTAGTCTCTTCTATTGCTTTTCTGCAGCTGTTCCTAACAACCTAGTGGGATCCTTAGGGTCTGTAGGGCTGCCTACACAAAGACCATCCTACCTCCCAGTACCAGAGCCAGACAGACTCGGTCTGTTCCCGACCCTAAGAGAGGCTTTGTCTCTCACTTTCTGAATTTCCCTCTGGTTAGATGAGGAAAACCAATTAAGAGTCAGTTTCACTGTCAGGCTCCTAATGCTGCAATGTTGCAAAAACTCCAGAGAAAGCTTTGTTTTAAAGTCCCAATATATTTCCATTGGTCTTAGGTTTTATAAAACAAGCCAAATATTAACTGACAGCCTCCCTTGAATTGTGCACATTGAGTTCTTCCCACCTCACCTTTTTTCACATTCCATATCAATAGGATATTGACTATCTTGACATAGCAGGATATAGAAACTCTACCGAACATTAGGATGTATCAGATATCAAGGTGTGTCATGCCATTTTATAGCTGCCTGCTACCAGCTCTGATAGTCTTCAGCTAACGGTAGGATTTGCACTCCATATCTTCTCAACAAAAATTGGGGCTCATCTCTGACACATTAGAAACATGTGAGATGCAAGGTGTTAGGTTTTAAGACTATTTTAAACATTGACATTTGCTATACGTTAGGAATCAGGAGCCATATGTTATAGCTATAGAATGAAAGGAATAAGTACACAAATCAGAGACATTAGTTTTGTTTGTCCTCATAAGAAAGGGACTGACAGAAAAGGAATTTATATCCAGCCTGAAAATAAGCAAGTCCTACAGTCTAAAAGGTTGGAGTTTTGTTATTAAAAAAAGGAAAGTTAGGGAACAATTCTTTACAAAGCAACCTCATTGCATAAAGATTGGATTCTCTTTAATAAGGCAGTGTAAGATGAGCAGACTTGCTTTATGAAATATGCTTAGGTAGAAAAATCAGATATTTAGTAGACTTGTTCTTTTCACAGACCAGCTTTGATGTACTGAAAAAATATTTTGGTAACATATTTCTATGTTCATACTTTTAGAAATATACCCCCCAAAAAAGGAAGATTACACTGCATTTCTGTATCTGTCTAGGATATGTGCAGGGATGGGGAGGCACCTTGCCAATGTGCTCTTTCAGCAGTCAGGTTTTTAGTGTATTCACTTTACCTGCGGCATGTGACAGAGGGGAGCAGCTGAAGGATCTTGCAGCTGAAACACAAAAGACAGAGGGCAGAACAATTACTGACAAAAAAAATTACCGATAATACTTTAAAATGTGCTACAATAGTAGGAAAAATTTAGACAAGTAATCTGTGGTAACTGCACATTTAGAGAAAAATGTTGTGTACATTGTGTATAACCAGTTTGTGGGTTTTTCACAGCAATGGGGGAGAAAAACACTTTAAAAATAGGAAAAGTGGTTGTAAAAAAAAATTACATGGTGGCAAGGAGACTTGGGTGCAGTTGGCACACCTGAATCTACCTTTAACCCATTTTTAAAAAACAGCTAAATGACAGTGTCCTTTTGCACGGCATCAACTTAATTTTTTAACAATAAGAAGAACACTTACAGAATCCGACAGCCCATGTGGAAGTAGCAGGGAGGCTTCTGATAACACGGCTCAACATGGAAGTCATTTTGAAATCTAAAGCAGCGGAGGAGGTGAAAGACAACAATTAGTTGGTTCAGAGGTTTCAGGATGAGCAAGCTACCCAATCCACACACAGCCAAAGGAAATGGAGATACAGATAAATTTGTTAAGTATCTGAAGAAGTGAGGTTCTTACCCACGAAAGCTTATGTTCCCAATACTTCTGTTAGTCTTAAAGGTGCCACAGGACCCTCTGTTGCTTTTTACAGATACATTGGTTAGTCTCTAAGGTGCCACAAGTACTCCTGTTCTTTTTGAGAAGACCCTAGTGTCCAGTGGGGGAGGGACTGTCTTTTTGTGGCGGGTTTGTACTGTGCCTAACACTGGAGCTTTAGGCGCGATTGCAATACAAGTAAATAATAATCGTGCCTCTCGTAGGCTCAGGGCAGTACGTTGCAAGGTGTTCCGGGCAGACCCATTTTAAAATGCCCCCCGCCCGACCTTGCTGTTGGTTTGTTCATCCCGGCCCTGATTAGCCACAAACAACCCCTTGTGCTGCCCCCTCCTCCAGGCAATCCGAGCGGTGCAGGTGCCCGGGCCAGGGGGGACGAGCTGGGGCCGCTGCCCCCTGAGCTCAACTCCCTGCAACCGCCCTGGGGATCAGCTCCAGGGCAGGAGCCCAGGCCCCCGGCACTGCCCGACCTCTGCCCGCGGCGAGAGAAACCAGCTCCCCAACCGCCCCCTCCCCGCAGCCGGCCGCTCCCCTCTCAGAGCCCCCCCCCTCTTCCTCCCGTCCTTGCCGCCAGGCCCCCCGCCTCCTTCAGCCCCCCCCGCCACAGGCCTCCCAAGCTGCCGTCACTGCCCCCCCCCGCACCCCGGGGGCTCCCCCCATTCTCCCCCGCCCCGCCGGTCCCCGGGCGCCCCGTCCGAGCGAGGCGGGGACTAGGCCTCGCGCTGGGTCCCACCTCCGGGCTCGGCCGCCGCTCCCGTCGCTATGCGCAGGCAGCTCCCTTCGCCCTAACGACGCCCAAGGGCCGGCCGCGCCCCGTCTCAGGAAAGCCCCCTCCTGCCTCTCCCATAGCTAACCGCGGCAGTGCCTGATGGGAGCGCGCTCCTCCCCACGTCTGTCCGACCCCCCCACACCCCACCCCGCAGCTCGGCTTTGCTGTAACGGGCCGAGGGAAGGCTTGGGTGCGTAGCGAGGGGGGCGGGCCAGGGTTAGGATTGGGGGGGGGGTGAGTGAATCAGGCAACGCCCAGGGCAGCCCCGAGGGACCGGCGTATGAAAAGCCCCCGCCCCCCACACGGGCGGGTCCTGTCGCCGCTTCTCTCATTCGACCTCCCTGAGCAAGATGGCGGCCGCGGTGCGGGCGATCGGGAGCCTGACGCGCTTCACGGCTGCTGCCAAGTACTGTCCGCCCCGCCGCGCCGGCCTCCCAGGTGAGGGGCCGCCCGGGGGCTGGGGGGGCCGAGACTGCGTCTCTCCCGGGGGTGGGGCAAGTCCCGCTCTCTGCGGTGGGGGCTGGGGGGCACCTCTGCCGCGGGGGAGCTGGGGCTGCGCTTCTGGCGGCGGGCGGGGGGGCAAGGCCTGCTGTGTGGGGACTGGGGGAGAGCTGGGGCTGCACCTCTACCTAAGGGGGGAGCAAGGTCCGTTCCGTGGGGTCGGGGTCGGGGGGGGGGGGCAAGGCTCGCTCTCTGTGGGGGGGGGCGGCCCGCACTTCTGTCTGGGCGGGGGTTATGGTGGGGCAAGGCTCGCTCTCTGGGGTGGGGGCTCTGCCTCCCCCAGGGCGTCCCCTGCACGTGCTGGGGTCCCCCACTGCCTGCCCCAGGCTCCCTGTGCCCATGGGGAGGCCGTTGGCTGCAGTGTCTGGGCAAGGAGTCGGTGCTGCCCTGAGGGGGGGCAGGGCAGGGCTCTGTCTAGTGCAGGGCTTGGTCCGCGTTGCTCGTTTGTTCTAATCCTGCTGCTGTAGGGGCCACGCAGCATCTATTGACCTCCTGGGGCTGTCTGAGGCCTGGCACTGACCGGTCCTGCCCGGGAGAGGGGTAGGCCTGAGTGTTTGCAACTGACAGGTCTTGGGATCCTCTCAGGCACCTTCCAACCACTCTAGGAGTGTCGCACTCCCCAGTATCTGGACCTTACTGAGTTTTAAATCCCCAGCGTGGGGGACTCTGAGGTTGTAATACACCTCCACTGTTCTTTTTCCCACTGGCCTTCTTCACCCTGGGGTTTTGGGTGGTGATGGGTTTTAATGAATACATTAGTTTGGTTTAAAATAAATTACGGTTAATGGGCTCTATCCAGGAGTGTGGCTGTCTCAGGGAACTGGGATTCCAATGTAAAACCTGTCCGCTGGATTAAGAGCCCACTGAATTTTGCACAAACCAGCAAACTACAATTGGATCTCAGTTAATTGGGGTGGCTACTGATTTACGCTATCTTTGTCTGATGCATAACTTGACTAACTCAATAGTCACAAGAACTAATTAACATCTGAGCATAGTTTGCTGGTTTGTGAAATTCAGTGGGCTCTTAATCCAATGAACCAGTCTTCACATTAGAATCCATCACGGCAGTTGTCATTAGTTTGTTCCCTTCTTGTTACTCTCAGCAGAGGTGCTCAAGACACTGATCTACAACTATTCCTGGAGGCACTTTCTCCAGGTCAGGGTGGAGGGTCCTTGAAGGCAGGGTTTCCTTCTGTAAATACACAGTTAGATAGTTTGGAGGGAGCTGGGTTCCCATATGAATTTAGAATTGTAACTTTGTCAAAATGATACATGATCAGGAGGGGAGTGCTAAAAAATAACATTGCGCTTTTAATTGCCAGAGGCCTCTCTTTGTCTTTTTAGTTTCTTGTTTTCAGGATTCTCACTTTGGCTGATATGCTCCCTTAATAATGTGTTGTTTGGACTCTCCTATTCATCATAGTTGATAGCAGTCTGCCTGGAATAGTCTTGTGTTCTTCACACCCCCTAAATGGCTGTTTGCCAAAATGGAGGTGGGGTGGGCAGGACTTCCACTGGCAGGGTAAAAACTGAGGACAAGAGCAGTGCACATAAGGAAAGTTACATGATCTTGGAGCCACCCCTATTGCAGACAGATTCCCCCCGCTGCTAGTAAAACAGGCAGCTTATTGTACGATGGAAATGTGGGCAACAGCCTGCCATCCCAAGTTCTCTTTTTCTGCTCCCTTGATGCTCAGCTTAGTTCCAGATCACAAGAGGCCTGGCCCTATGGAGCCACCTATGGACGCTGTTGTCCCCACCTCAAGCAGCATGCAATCTCCTGGTGAGTCGGGGAGTAGGGAGGGGAGTACAGGAAAAGAGACCAAAGTAAATAAAATGGTTAGGAAAAAATGAGACAGCAAATGGTGCGGGGGGTGTCATCCATATTCCAATTCATTGCAAGGGAAAGGGATACTCCACCAAACATTGGGAGCCACTCCCCTAAATAAAAGTTCTAGTGAGCTCGGCACTGTACTAATACTACTTTGCCCTTATAGTGCTGTCTGTCCAGAGGTTTACAAGGTGGGTAATTTCTCTGCCTCAGTCTCCCCATCTATAAAAATCCAGTTATGTTCTGCAAAATAATAGCACCACATAGTTGTGTGTCGATCATATTACAAGTAAGCTGGTGTTTCTCCTGGTATCAAAGTGCCTAAGTCCAGCTGGATATTTTCCTCCTTATTCATCCTCACCAGGAGTGAGTCTTGGTCAAATTCTGCCTTCAGTGACTCGTGTGCATCCCCTTTGTGAACTTAAATTCATTAATGTCTGTAAAACTTTTGATATCCTATAATGGGGAGTGCAGAGTTTTACAGAGGTAAAAATCAATTCTCTCCCCCCCGTTTGTTTGGTTTTGCGATAGCTTTTTACAAAAAAACTGTTAGAAGTTTTTTTTATTAAGTTCTTTTAGGCATTGAAACAATTCTTAACAAACCTTTTTTCCTGCAATGTTGGAAATCTAGTAAAAAAATGGAATTGACTAGAAACTATCAACAGAAATGAAACTGACTAATCTCCTTTCATTGCCCAAGCAGGGTGAAGAATACAACATAAATAGTGAAAAGTAAATCTAGATTTAAGTCTTTCAGTTCCAGTATAATGTTGAATATATATAAGAAAATTAATAAATAAATAAATAGAGGCCTGCTGGTGTTCCTTTAAAAAGTGCAAGAGGATTTTATCTATAACCTTGATTTGTACAAATTCATGCTGCTAGTTGTAAATGATTTGCAGTTTAAAGTAGCAATGCTCTTACTGTAAACTGCCTCTAAGCCACATTTTATTGTGGTTGAGTTTTAAGCCTGGTTATTGCTTTCCAAGAGGGTTCTGGCCTTTGCAACTTGATAAAACACATTATCCTGGAAAATTTGTCATCAAAAGTATTTCACTGCTTTTGCATAGTTATTAGTAGGTCACCAAAATTTTTAGGGGTCTTGCAGTAATGATAGTGACAAGGTCCCTGCCCCAGAGAGCTTGCAGTCTAAATAGACAATGTGCAGGCAAAGGAAGGGGAGGGGATATAGTGAAGTTTAGCATGTTTTGTTCCAGATTCTTGGTATCTTTTTATCTTTGTGTACCTTTAGACTGTTTTGCTGAAACTTCTTAAAAATGGTTGTAGAGAGCTTCCCGGAAAGTGTTTAAGGGGAACTTAAGAGAAGAAGCAAAGGCATGTTAGACCATGGAACTGGGAGGGGGCTAATTCAGCCAATCAGTTACTTGCATAACTTCATGAAATAAGAGATTCTATATCTTTAAAAGGGTGGAGCTATTTGGTGAAGTCTAGGATAAGTTGACAATGTCCAAGTGCAAACCCTTACTCTCCATATAAAAATACATCTGTTAGTGACCCATCCCCAGACTTTCCTATCTGGCTATGACTCTAGTGCAGACTCCTGAGGGAGGAGGGAAGGGGTTGGGGAAGCTACCAGTCGCGGTCTTGTAATTTAGTCTCAATTGTTCATCTCATTTCTTCCTCCTGCTTCACCTGATAGTGTGGTGCAACCCAAGGGCTACATTGAACAAGTTCGACAAGGCAGCGCACTCCTGCCCTTTATCACCGGAATGTGGCCTGTGAAAGCCGTACTGTGAAATGCTGCGTTTTACTCCAAATTACAAGACGGATCATTTCATGCTGGGGCCTCTAGTCTCAAGTTGCTGCATCCGTTATAAAGACGCGGGCAATGCGAGCGCTACATTTTGGCGATCACATTTGGTTGGCCGGCCTTTCAATGACTGAAGCCTAGGCACTCCCGAGCCTAGAATTTTAAGGCTATCCAATATTTCACACAGGGTTTGTAATCTGGGCCTCAAACTTGGTCAAAAATCCTCTTAAAAATACATTCTTGGAAATCAAAACCAGGAGACAAATTTCTTAATAAGATGTTGCCGAGAATAAATCACTCCCACCGTTTCAGAAAGGAACTAAATGTGACACACTTTTTCCAGTCTCCCAAAGCAGTTTACCTTGCTTATGTTCCTGGGCATGATGAAATGTAGGACAAAGGTCACTCCCTCCCTTCAGAGGAGGAGACCATTTAGAAATGTAGGGGAAAGTGCATGGAGCAGCTCTAAGCCAAGATGACATGGCTGTGGGGGAAGGGATAAGTGCTTATTTGCGAAGCAAAGTGCAGGGTGCCTGATTAATCATTGTCTGATCTGAGTGGTTGATTGGAGATTCATCCCACCCTACTTATTCCCCCTCCTGGATTTCCCAGGTTGTTTTGCCTTTGGGCTAGGGATGGTCTGCCTCATGGGTTGACACCCTGTAAATAAACCAATGTGGTATTCTGTAATCTAATGGCTGGCTGCTGCCAACCGTACCAATTAGGATACGCTGTTTGAAGAGCAGCATTTTTGGTTGTTTATCTCACAATAGCTCATAGCAGTGGCTCCCATGGGGAAAGCAGTTGCTGCCTGCAGTAGCTAGGGGCAGCCCAGCGTTGCATTGGAAGAAGCTTTTGTCCAAGGTGAAGGTCACTTGAACAGAAGTGGGAGGGATTTTAGGGTAACAGTAGGGATAACTGGAGGCAAAAATGTAAGA